TACCATTCTCTGCAGCCCCAGCTACCTCTCTGTCCCAATCTCCTGCCCTCTTCTGGCAACCAGTCTGAGTGTCAGCTCTGCAAGAAGTAAGCAGGTGTGAATTTAAATATAAAAGTGGTTTAGCACTAATGTCAAAAAACAACCTAACCAGAGAGCATTATAATGTTAAAATTCTGAAAGATGAATTTACAACAAATGTGACTTTCTTTCAATTGAATACAGATAAAACTAAATTCAGCTTACCCAGGCTTTCTTTGGACTCTGCTAACTTCACACAGAGTATTCTCTACCCTAAAAAATGAGTATATAATGGAAAGATATTTAACACATTGCAAACTTTGACCATACTGAGTGTTAAGGGGCTGATTTAAAAAACAGAAATGGGTCCGATTTAAAAGGCTGAATCTAGCTGAGCCCAGTGACCCCTGTAATACCAGCTACCGGGGAGGCCCATGCAGGAGGTTTGCAAACTCAAGGTCAGCCTGGGCAACCTCATAAGACCCTATCTCTCTCTCTCTCTCTCTCTCTCTCTTTTTTTTTTTTTGGTGTGTGTATGTGTTTCTGGGGATTGAACCTAGAACCTTGTGCATGGGAGCCAAGCACTCTATCAACTGAGCTATATCCCCAGCCCTACTGTCTCAATTTAAAAAAAATGAAATGAACAATGAAAAGGGCTGGGAAGTAGTTCCCTGGGTCAGTCCCTAGTACCACACACACAAAGTCTGGGGCTGGGGTTGTGGCTTAGTGGTAGAGTGCTTGCCTAGCATGCATGAGGCACTGGGTTCGATCTTCAGCACCACATAAATGTAAAATAAAGATATTGTGCCCACTTAAAATTAAAAAATAAATATAAAAAAATATAAATCCCACCCAAGTTTCACTTTCCTACAAAGGACAAGATTTTTCTTATATCAAGATTCATGTCTGAAATACATACCTTTGTGAGAACAAGGATCACACAAAACTGCATTGTATGTCCCTCCTGTGGATCCTCCACTGACTTCTCTTCATCCACCAGAATACTTAGAAATGCTGTATTATACTTACCTTTTTATTTCCTTGTCTTCCCTATTGGACTGTAGACTTCTTGACAAAGGTGGGAAATGTATTTTTTCCTCCCACTATACCCAACACATAGTAGCCATGGAAATATGTGTTGACTAGGACAAGACATTTCAGGATTTCTTCTACTAGAATCTCAGACTGTTCTAGGAAGTTCTGACTTGTTTGGGATTTCTCAATGCTCCTGCTAGGTGTCTTGGAATATTACCTGAAGTCCAGAACAGTTCCAAAGGAGAATGACAAGTAGAACCAGCTCTTCCTCTCCATTGAAACTCCTAGATGGCCTTGGACCTTTTTGGGTTCTTAGGTTGTGGACAAATGCCTCAGCACCCACAGTTCATTCTGTTCTGAGATTGCTTGGATTTTAGACTCTAGCACAGAAAAGCAAAGGATACATGAATTACATAGGTGTCGTTTTAATTTTTTTAGTTATACATGGATACAATATCTTTATTGTTATGTTGTGCTGAGTATCGAACCCAGTGCCTCACATGTGCGAGGCAAGTGCTCTGCCACTGAGCCACAACCCCAGCCCCTACATAGGTATCTTGATTCACGTGTTTTTCAAACTTGAGTCATTGTAGAGAGAAGGCAAAGGAGAAGGTTCTGGATGGGCTCAGATTCCCTCCCCAGCTTTAACCAGATCAGTTCTGCTTTGATCTGTTTATATATTAGGGTTCCATTGCTGGGGTGAGGAAAGGAGCTCCTTCTCTTAAACATGACAGCTGATTCTTTTTCCTCCCTGTCTATCAGGCTGTAGACAATGAATGGCATCTGGGGCTCAAAGGGGATTCTCCAAATGTGCTATTTTCACATCACTGGGGAAATGGTCTGAAAGCAAACTAGACAACCGCCTAATCAGTTAAACCAAGTCACAGCCTGAAGCTTGAGAAAATGTGGAAAGTGATGAGGGGTTAGAGCAGGTCCAGAGTAAAGTGCACAAATAAGCAAGCAAGGGAATCCATGGCACATAGCTCAGAGTTAAAATGCTGAGTGCCTACTCATTAGAGAGACATTTATATCACATATGTGACTCTCATAGGAGACTAAGATAGAAGGGAGGCCTAAAGTCTGGAACAAGGGGAGTCTTTTGCCTCTGCTGTATGCAGATTTCTGTTGGACTGAAGTCTGATTGGTGGGTTAGGATGAGCCTAGGTATGGCCAGCGGCTGACTCAGGCCTACTGTCCTGAACACAAAGGACTAGACACCGAGGACCCAGGTTCTCAAAACTCATAGAATCTCAAAGGTGAATTACCAAGCCTTAGTTTTTCTTATATCAGATTAAATGATGTGAGCATTCAGTAGGGAGTTTGATATGAGACTAAAGTTCTTGGATGAAATCTAAGATAGAGAGATTTTGATTTGGTAGTTGTCAAATGGATTGAGATTACCTAGAGAGGGACCGAAGGGTTGATTGACTGTACCCTTCAGCTCAGCCCTCATAACACAGTCACAAAGTGAATACCAGCCTATGCTTAACCACTCCTTATGAATGGCCTCGGCCACTATAAGATTCTGAGCAAGCTTTTACTTCTCTGAGCAGATGTCTCAAAGACTGGCTACTGCTGCCTTCCTCATGATGGCCTTCTTTGGAAATGGAAATTTCTTCTTCCTTTGGAATGTATATTGTCAAGCTATAATAGACCTAAATTCACCTTTTCTTTCAATTTTATCTCTGCCTTTTAATTGAATTTGCAAATGACTTACTGATTACTTCTACATGAACAACTTTCATTGGCTCATCTCAGTTTTCATTCAGCAGTGGTAGTAAATTGCCAAGTCCCTAGAAAATTTCATGGAAGACTCCCATGAACAAAATATGGTGGGAGGACATCACCCAGGAATGAGGCTAATATCCCAGGAAGGTAGGCAGATGCTCACTAGTTCTTCCAGAAAATTCTTCTGTCTCTCCTGCATTCCCTGTCCTGCCTGGAAAGGGAAAGCTTTTTTCTTTTTTGAAATGGACAGCTATCTTGAATTGCTTATCTTTCCCTTGACTCCCACTCTAACAATGTTGAGGAAGGAAGAGGAGGGATGAAACCTCAAGGTTCGCCTTGCCTGGTTGACCAGGAGGCATTTTGTCAAGGGGGAAAGATGCTAAAACCCCAGCAATAGATGCATATTCAAAAGAATTGAAAACAGACATTTAAACAAATTATGCACAAATATTTATAGACACACTGTGCACAATAACCAAAAGATAGAAATAACCCAAATATCCATCAAATCTAGTGAATGGATAAACAAAATGTAGGCTGGGTGGTGCATACCTGGGATCCCAGCAACTCGGGAGGTTGAGGAAGGAAGATCACAAGTTCAAGGCTAGCCTCAGCAACTTAGTGAGGTGAGGCGCTAAAGCAACTTAGCAAGACCTTGTCTCAAAATAAAAACTAAAAAGGACTAGGTATGTAGTTCAGTGATAAAGTGCCCCTGGGTTAAATCCCCAATATCTCAAAAAAAAAAAAAAGTAGTAGATCTGGGGCTGGGGATATGGCTCAGTGTGTAGAGTCTTTGCTTAGGCTTTGGTTCAATCCCCAGCATCACACACACACACACACACAAAAAAAAAAAAAAAAAAAAAGCAGTAGATCCATCTAACAGAATATTATTCAGCCATGAAAAGAAATGAAGTCCTAATATATGGATAAACCTTGAAAACATATGCTAAGTAAAATGTCATATATTGTATTATTCCATTTATATGAAATATCCAAAATAGACAAATTCATATATAGAGAGAAAGCAGATTGTTACCTCCTGGGAGGTGGTAGTGGGGGGGGGGAGTGTTAACTGGCAGAATTTCCTTTTGGTTGATGAAAATGTTCTAGAATTGGTAAGTTCTAGTTGGTAACAGTTGCAAAACATTATGAATGTACTAAATTCCACTAAATCATGCACTTAAAGATAATTAAAAAGGGGACTAGGAATGTTGCTCAGTGGTAAAGTGCTTGCCTAGCTATGCCCAAGGCTCTGAGTTGGAGTCTCAGCAGTGAAAAATTAAATTAAATAATTAAATTGTTAAAATGGTGAATTTTATGTTACGTGACTTTGTCTTAGTCTGTTTGGGCTGCTATGACAAAATATCATAAATCAGATAATTTAGATACATCAGAAGTTTATTCCTTACAACCCTGGAGGCTGGGAAGTCTAAGATTAAGGTGTCAGTGTCTGATGAGGACATGCGTCCTCCCAGTTCCTTCTTGCTCTGTTTTCATGTAATCATATATGCTCTGTGATCTCTTTTAAAAGGCTCTAAATCTATTCATGAAACCTCATCACCTACCAAAGACCCCACCTCTTAATATCATGACTTTGGGAAGTAGAATTTCAACATGAATTTGGAGGGGACAGAAACATCCAGACCATAGCAGAATTTTACCCCAAATTTCAAACAGGGTAAGAGATGCGGGTATGGCTCAGGCAGAACACTTGCCTAATATGCACAAGCCCTGGCCTCTATTCTTAGCACTGTAAAACAAAACAAAACAAACAAAAACAGAAGAAAAGAAAAGAAAAAATGGGGGTGATATGAGAAAGAGAAAAAGGAAGGGAAAAGTGAAGAATTCAGAATACCTTCCTGAGTTGAGTTTCCTCACTGTAATGTGGTGATACTAATGTCACCACTTCCACTCCTCACCCAAAGTGGGCATGAGTAATAATACATCAGTTAGTACAGTGAGTATTACATAAAGTACATAGCCCACAGTAGCCTACAGTAGGCTTTCAACTCAATTTTAATGCCTTCATGTCTATATAAACGTCTAAACATAAATCTATTGACCTCTTTTATTTACTTTTTATTTTCTTTCTTTTTTTTTTGCATCACTAGAAATTGAAACTAAGGGCACTCTACCACATTGTTACATCACCACTCTTTTTATCTTTTTATTTTACTTTGAGACAGGGTCTCACTAAGTTGCCCAGTTTGGCCTTGAATTTACCATTCTCCTGCCCCAGCCTCTGGAGTAGCTGGGTGTACAGGTGTGAACCACTGTACCTGGTTATTTCTTTTATTTCTTTCAACTCTGTGGTTTGTGGCTCCAGCCAGACATGGGTTTGCCCACTCCTTATTGGATTTGGCAGGCTGTTCCACCATCTGAGATGTTCTATCTCCTATGTGCCGGCAGGCTACTGTGGTCCTTAGGCTACTGCCACAAACTCACCTGAGAGCAAAATCTGGGATTCACCCTCTGAATCAGACTCTGAGAGTTGTTGGAGGGAAAGGTTCTGGGATATGCATTTTTAGTAAATGCTCCAGGTGATGATATTAAAGGTGCATATAAAAGTTTGAGACCACTTTGCTAATTTATGTCTTTACCATCTTTTCCAGGAAGTTCACCCAGATTTCTCCTCTGAGTAATTCTCTGATAACCAGAGTGCTCCTCATCTTTGTCTAAGGGTCTGATTAACTGTCATATTTGTTTTGGGTTCTTCTGGGTGTGCTGTCTCCCACTGGATCAGGGAACTCCTAGGGAGAAATGCCTGGTCCTCCCTTTTCTCTTGTCATTCTAAGCACAGATGTTCCTGGTTCCTCCTGAGTGTAGGTTCTCCTGGGATTCTGTAGGAAGTGAGACTCTTAGAATCCTGCTTCCTTACTTCTCCAGATACTTGGGAGAACCTAACTTTTCTGTCTTCCTATCATTCTATTTCTGACTTTTCTAGATGGTCTGGAAATTATATTGCTGTATCATATCAGCCTTTGCTTTTCCAATCCCATCTTACCCAGGATGCACTAGGTGTGGGCCAGCCCCCACCCCACCCTGACAACTGACCATGGATCCTGGAGCCGGGTCCGAGTCCTCTCTGACTGTCAATGAGCAGGTATCTTCTGGGATAAGAAGGGAAGGGGTGGTAAAGGCAATGGACAAAAGGGTGTGGGTAGGGGAGGAAGGCTCCATAGCACCCCTCTTTGTTTCCTACCAAAGTTCATGGTTATTTCGTCACGGGGAGTTGCCAACTAGGACTTCTCAGATTCTGAGTTGGGGGATTTAGCTGTGACTTTTAAAATTGGAATTAAAATGCACAAATACATATAATGTAAACAAGGAAAGGTTTGGACACCAAGTAATTTACTTTTAATTTTTTCTAATTTAAAAAAAATTTCTGCAATGACTGTTTAGTTCTTGTGTCATTTTTTAAAATGAGAAAAAAAAATGAATGTCTTTTAAAATGTAAGTGCAGTAGAAGCCCCTCATAGATCGAGTTTGAGTCAGTAAAAGGGAATGCTTTGGGGGATTTATTTCACTTTTACTTTCCTGTTGGAAAGTTTCTGGCTGGATTCAGTTTTCAGGCTTCAGAAGCATGTTTGGCAGTGGTTTGTGGCCCAGGCCAAGTGTACGGGAGGACTGACACAAAGCACTTTAATGTACAGATTTTGTCTCTGATTCTTGAAGGGCCCAAGTGGCAGTACTTCAGTGCTTGAAACAGGGCATTTGAGCAGAAGACCACCAAGTGTTCTAAGGTGACTCAGGGTCTGCCTGCATCATACACATGGAGGATCACCCTTGTACTCTGAGCATGCCCACTGCTGGATAGCATGATAGAAACCACAGGCTGTTAGGATACCCAGCTCCACTGGAGCCATAGCTGGGCTGGGTGAGGAAGATCAGAACATCTTTAGGATTCCTCATCCTTCTTTCAGAAAGTTAACTTGCAGGGGAATCCTGGTCATTTACTCCAGAGTTTTGGAAATAAAGGCATTGTGAGCTTAAAAGCTACTCAGCATAGGGAGCATTTATTTTCCATCCCTTTACCTTTGGGGAACTTCCAGACAGATTCAAGAGAATCAAAGATGGATTTGTTTCCTGGTCCAACTTAAGTCATGTGTACTGTATTAGGATCCCTCATAGCCACACTACCATGTCCTGGTAGCCAAGAGGACATCCTTGTAAGTTTGTGGGACAGGCCATTTCCTATTCCCTGAACTGAGCCCAAGAGGGAGAGCAAATAGAACTATCTCTCAAGTGGAAAAGTTCTGGGACTTTTCCCAACTGTGTCAGACCCTTCTCCCTGACACTAGGACCTGTCTTCTTCTAGCAGCTCTTTCCATGGAATAGGAGAGTAGTAGCCTGCCCCAGAATCTGGTGTTCTCACAGAGCACACTGTTTGCTGCTTGGGAGGTCTACATCTGAAGTACCCTCTCTCTCCTCCAGCCATACCAGGGGCTATGCTGACTCCTCCTCTTAGCGGTATTCCTTGTTGTCTGCCTACAGGTCATCGTGATGTCAAGCCACGAGACCATCCGAGTGCTAGAAGTTGGAGTGGATGCCCAGATCCCTGCTGAAGATGAGGGCAAAGGACTGGAGAGTGTGGCTGCTGACAGCTCTCAGAGTGGAGGCCCTGCCGAAGCCAGCAACCCAGGACCAGACAACCCAGACCCCTCTGCAGAGGCTGGTATGAGACCATTGCTCCAATCTGGTATCACTACCTCTGAGTCCATTGTGATTCTCTGGGGAGCCAGCATGTGTCCCAGGGGCCCAGGTGGCATTAGGATTTTGTCTTCCCATCCGCTGGGCAGCCTGTGACCATAGTCCACTTTTAGTCAGCATGTAGGGCTACTCTGCATTCCTTTTTCCTGGAGCTTTAGTTCCTCTTACAGCCACTTCTAGGCCTAAACTGGGAATGATGGGAGGTGATTGGCATGTTTCAGCTTAGTTTGAATCAACCTCAGAGAGCTCCTAGGTCCAAACCAAATAGTCAGACCCAATGCAAAGAGAACTGGGCCTTCAGTATCCTTCTGGCCTTTCTAACCCTGTCCTTTTTGTGGTAGAACTGAGATGTCCCAGGAACTGAGAATGGGAGGGCATCCTACTTTCCTCAAAGAAAGGAGACTAGGTAGAACTCCTGAAAAATCCCTGTTCCTTCCTCTCTGCAGTTTTATAGGTGCTGCCCCTCTGCAAAGCCAACCTTACAGAGTAAGCTGCATTCACCTGCAAGACAGCTGTGAGAGAAACAGGGCTGCCCTGGGTGGCCCTGGTGCTGCTTTCCAGCCTTGAGGGACCTTTTATTGACTTTCCTCCTCAACACCTTGCAGAGTGGTCTTCTTTTGCAGGAAGCCTTAGGCCTCCTTTACCAGTTCCCTCAGAACACCTTGATTCATTTCCTCTGGCCTTCTACTGTTCTTCACCCCTTCCCTAGACTGGAGATTCGGACAGGGGGAGGGGATAAGGGGAGGAGCCAAAAAAGAGCAAATTAGAACTAACAAACTTCAGAGAAACAACAGCTTCTTAACAAGAAAATGGCATAACTTCACCATCCTTGATCTACTTGCAAATCAGATTGCAGGTTCTTGGGACCCTAGTGACCTCAGTATCTTAATTCTCCTTTTGAATATAGGAATGACAAGGGATTCCACCTATTTTTTTTTAAGGTGCAATTCCCTGGAGAATGGGCAGGACAGACAAGGACTCTTATCCCACTTGTTCCTCTCAGCAGAGCCACTGTGGAGATGGGGCTCCTTTTCAGAAAACCCTGAGGAGGTTTCTTGTCTTCTATAACTCATTTTCTGGCGCCTAATTCTGCTTCATTTCCAAAACTGCTCTGAGAAATGGATTCTAAATCAATTATTTACACTTCAGCATGAGTGCTTATGTAGTGTGCATCTTCTTCCAGAGGTCTGTATATTTAAGACTTTCACCAAAGTCTTCCTCTCAGTGAAAGGATTTTAGTCATTGTCAGGGCGCGCGCACGTGTGTGTGTGTGTGTGTGTACACATATAATACCTTTATTTTATTTATTTATTTTTATGTGGTGCTGAGGATTAAACCAGTGCCTCACACATGCTAGGCAAATGCTCTACCACTGAGCCACAACCCTGGTCCCATTGTCAGGGTAGTTAGATGGTACTACCTAATAAGCTGCCAGCTTAGATTGATGGGACCTTTCTTGGTATGCAATACTAAGAAGGGGTCTCTCATATTAAAACAAAACAAAGTAATAGAGGATCTTTTCAGGATTAAAAATAATCTAGTAATTTGTGTCTCTCTTATGTCCAGTCCTTGCCACACACATATTTTTGTATGTGCGGCCACCGAGAGTAGACATGGAGTATAACACTCTGCACCATATTATTTCATATGCCCATTTCTATTAGTGACATAGATTCATACACCTACTTCAGGTGAAATTGTTTGTCTTTTTGTTTTCATTAACAGTTCTGCCTTGAACATCTTTGCTATTGTTTCTTTAATTATTTTTCCCCTTCCCAGCTACTGAGAATTCATTTCTCAGAGCAGGTTTGAAAAGGAACAGAATTAGGTATCAGGAAGGATGGCAACAATTTAGCAAGACGCTGTCTCAAATTTTTAAAAAATAATAATAATAATTTTTTAATTAAAAAATGTCTTCTTTGGAGGCTGGGGTTGTGGCTCAGTGGTACAGTGCTCACCTAGCATGCACAAGGCACTGGGTTCGATCTTCAGCACCACGTAAGTGTGAAATAAAGATATTGTGTCTATCTAAAACTAAAAAAAAATAAATAAATATTTTAAAAATGTCTTCTTTGTGGTATAGTCCACTAAAAATCCTGTCAAAGAGAAATTAAATATTGACATAGAAGGAAGTCATCATATGGAAAAATTTTTAAATTTGCTATCAATGAAAAGAAAAGTAGTTGACTTTGAAGTATCACAGATGCTGGTGGCACATGCCTGTAATCACAGCAACTCAGGAGGCTGAGGCAGTAGAATGGCAAGTCCAAGGTCAGCTTCAATGACTTAGAAAGACCCTGTCTCAAATAAAAAATAAGGAGCTGTGGCTGTGGCTCAGTGATAGAGAGCTTGCCTAGCATTGTGAGGTGCTGGGTTCAATCCTTAGCACCACGTACAATACATAAATAAATAAATAATGGTCCACTGACAGCTAAAAAAAAATTTTAAATAAATAAAAAATATAAAAAGGCTGGGGAGCTAGGTGCAGTGGCACACACCTGTAATCCCAGCCTCCTGGGAGGCTGAGGCAGAAGGATTACAAGTTCAAAGCCAGCCTCAGCAATTTAGTGAGTCTCTAAGCAGCTTAGCAAGACCCTATCTCAAAATAAAATATAAAAAGGGCTGGGGATATGGCTCAAAGCACAATGACTTTTCTCCTCAACACCTTGCAGAGGGGTCTTCTACTGGGGTTTACTCCCCAGTACTGCCATGGTGGGTGTGCAGGGCAGACAGGGAAGGTAGCACATGACTATTAAGCAAAAAAAAAAAAAAAAAAGTGCTAAAACCTAACTTAGGTGGTGCTGTGGAGAAGCAGGTACATTTTTGGTGATTCTGAGAGTTAGTTTAGTCTTTCTGTAAAGCAGTATGGAAGGAAGTAGAAAAATCCTAAATATATATAAACCCTTGGACACCAGGGTCCAAGGAAATAGGACCTAATAAAATGAATGTTTCATTTCTTTAGATAAAAAGAAAAGCTCACATATAAGGTAGGTTTTATAAGTTATGTGGCAAACATAAATCATAAAAGTTTACCTTTTTATGTTTCATTACATTTTTTCCAACAAAAAATATTTTTTTAATTTGAGATATGATCTTACTGTGTGATCCTCCTGCCTCAGCCTCCTGCTTTGCTGGAATTACAGGCATGCACCACTGCTCCTGACCCTTCCAGGTTGTTGACCACATTACAGAAAACAATTTAAGGACACATCAGAGTTTCAGTGGCAAAGGGAATTTATTGCAAAGTGAAAATACATACTCAAGGACTAAGTGCAGGCGTGCCCAAAGTTTGAGAGACTCACAGATATATGGGTTGTGGTTTATATTGTTCAGGAAAATTAATCCTCCTCAGCAGAGTCTGAAAATGGAAGAGATTCTCTGAATTGGGAGGACCTTTTAGGGAAAATTACTCAGTTTTAATTAGGCAGCTAAAGGGTATGTGAGTATATATAGTAATCAACCTTAATGAGCAAAAGGTAAAGGTAAGATCAGGAATCATTCTGGTGAGTTTGTGCAAGAAACCAGTTACAGCTGGCTCTGGAGTGCGGCCTACCTCATGGTTAAGGCAAAATGTTTTCTCTAATCAGATGCTAGCAGGATGCCTGTGGTTAAGCAGGAGCAGCCCACAGGTTGCTTGCAGAGGTGCCTGCCAGCACCTAATTTCCCTGTGCCTAACTCAGGAAGAGAGTGGCTATCTTCCAGATCTGGCACAGAACTACCAGCCTCCTACTCTCACTATAAGTAGCGTTGGGGAAGCTGCCTTGTGGGCCAGGGAAGGCCAACAAATAGTTTTCAGTTATGCAGAAATACAAAATGGGGCTGAGAGTTGCCACTTCAGGTGGCAGACAAGATATTCTACCCCAGTGACTCCCTCCACTCACATCAGGCTCACTCCATGTCCTTCTTTCTCTCAATGCCATATGAAGTGAAGTCACTTCCCGGGATCCCTCCGAACCCTGCCCCCGCTATTGCCACCTTCAGCCAAGCCCCAAGCCAGCCTCAGGCATCGCAGACCCTGACACCACTGGCTGTACAAGCTGCCCCCCAGGTAAGGGCCACCCCAGGGAGCTGGACTGAGGGCAGTGGGTAGGAATGAGGTGTGGGGTGGCCAGGGACTGGGAACTGCATGAGGCAGGACAGAGAAAGGGTATGGGTTGAGGGAGGGAATCTCTTACTGGGACCCCTGGCCTCTCCCTTCCCCAAATCAGGCCCATTGGAAAAGATCTGCATTTGCTGGGCAGTTTCTTTGGGTCCAGAAAGAACTATAGAAATTCCATTAACTCTTTCATGCTGCAGAGTTTCTGCTTATCTTAATAATGAAATAAGTGAATAGCTTTGTCAGCTCCTTTAGCAGATGCTTGGAAGAGTTAATAGAGTGTTCAGAGTCCTCATTTAGAGACAGGGAGCAGCCCCAGCCAGTGAGAAGCTGCCTGTAGGATCCTGCAGGAAAGCACAGCCCTGGTGACCTTTGTTCCATGCACTAATCTCTGAGGCATCCAGTCAGAGGGCATCCTCCACCAGAGCCTGGGGGAAATTTGGGGGAGGCTTAAGAGACAGCAGACTGCAGAGAAGGTCTGTGCAGCCCTACCTGTCCAGTGGGCAGGGCTGGGCCCTGCCTTGATTTGGGCCACTTCTCTGCAGGCAAGATAGTATGGCTCAGGCACCCGCTCAGGTCCAGCCTCCAGCTAGGGCATGGCTCTTCCCTGCCTCCTGTGGCCTCTCCCCACTGCCCTTAAAATGTTTTGTTTGTGCTCAGCTGGGTCTAAGAGACCCAGTGTTTGCGCTATCAATGTTGATTTTTTATTTTTTCTTTTCTTTTTGAAATCTTGTTTGCTTTTGCAGGTCTTGACTCAGGAAAACTTAGCCACAGTTCTGACAGGAGTTATGGTTCCAGCAGGGGCAGTTACTCAACCTCTTCTTATCCCCATCAGTATTGCAGGTCAAGTGGCTGGGCAGCAGGGGCTGGCCGTGTGGACAATTCCTACAGCAACTGTGGCTGCCCTCCCAGGACTGACTGCTGCTTCTCCCACGGGGGCACTATTCAAGCCACCTTTAGCTGGTCTGCAAGGTAACGGCAACTCTCCCCAGGACTGCACCAGGCCCCCCACCACCCTACACTACCACTCCTGCACACGTGCTTGCCATGTCGGACTCAGAACCCACGGCCCACTCAGGGCAACAGCCCTGGAGTCTGCATCAGTGTCCCAGGCTCCCAGCCACAGAGCCGCTGCACCATCTTGGAACTCTAGGCCAGGACATCATGTCAGCCCAGCAGGCCTTTCTTCCTTCAACCAACTGCCTGAGACTGCCCCTCCCCCCATGCCAGCTTCCTGAGAAGGACTGCAAGAAGATTCAACATCTGGTTCTTGAACCTACACATCTCCTGGCCCAAGGGAGGGGGGATGAGAGATGCTGGCGTGTGCCAGCCCTTCAAGGATCAAAGCAGCTGCGTGCCCCCTATGCCCATTGCCCCAACCCCATGTTATTCTTGTGCCAGATCCCTTGGGATTGGAGCCACTCTGGGCCATGGCTAGGCGTTTGAGCACCTCTGTCTCTGCCTTGCTCCATAGCAGCTGCCGTGCTGAACACCGCTCTCCCGGCACCCGTACAAGCTACCCCACCAGTCCAGGCCTCTTCACCGGCCCAGCCCCGGCCACCAGCCCAGCCCCAGACACTGTTCCAGACCCAGCCGCTGCTGCAGACCACGCCTGCCATCCTACCACAGCCCACTGCTGCCACCGCTGCTGCCCCCACCCCCAAGCCAGTGGACACCACCCCACAGATCACCGTGCAGCCTGCAGGCTTCGCGTTTAGTCCAGGAATCGTAAGCTGCTGCCCTCACCCAAGGCTGACCAGGGATGGATCAAATCTTGGGCCAAGGGTAGAACTGACCCTTCCCGCAGTGGAGGACCTGCCCCTTGAATACAGCCCTTTTCCAACACATCAGCCGAGATGAGCTCCCTCTGAGGTCTTCTTGCAGCTGTCAGCCTGTCCAGCTCAGGCAAAAGCATACAGCCTCTGCCAAGAGGGCTGAGCAAATTCTCCAGAACCTGAACCACTGGACCAGCCTTGGAGGGTGGGATGATGTCTAGGGATTGCGAATCTGTGAGCTGCCATGAAGTGCAGTTAGAGGCTCACAACTCTGTGCTGGTGTCTATTCGGTGTGGCTCCCGACTTGGCAGTGGAGCTGTCAGATGTGACTAGGAACACATCAGCCCCTCCAGTCAGGCCCTTCTACCCTCCCAGGCCTGGCCCAAAAGATTAATCAGTTACTGTCCTGACTGTGGTCTCTGCCCTACCCTACTGCCCCCTGAAGCCCCTACATAGTGCTGGATACTATTCAGCTGTGGACATGGGCCTGCAGTCCTGGCCATGTTCACAAATGCCCATCCCCATGCCCCCAGCCCTTTTCCCTCTACCAGAGTCTCTTTCTCACCCCTTGGCCTCTGAGCAGGACTCTTCCTCCACCCACAGATCAGTGCTGCTTCCCTCGGGGGACAGACCCAGATCCTGGGCTCCCTCACTACAACTCCGGTCATTACCAACGCGATTCCCAGCATGCCAGGGATCAGCAGTCAGATCCTCACCAATGCTCAGGGACAGGCAAGTGGTCAAAGCCAAGTCTGGGGGCTGGGGTCTATGGAGAAGCTGGCCAGGAGTGGGCCAGGAATTGGGCTAACAGTCATAGAAACTCAAATAAGGTGTCAAATTGCTGTTCATAGCTCCCTATGGTGGCTCTCTGATGATGCTGAGGCCAGGCAGGGGTAGTACTAACCTGTCCTACAGGTGCTCATTCTAGTTGGGGGGTTTCATTTAAAGAGCACCTACTTTGTGGCTATGCTTTGGGCTAGGTGCTTTCTTATACATTTTCTCATTTTGGGTACAAATCTATTAGGTAGAGATTTTTATTCCCATTTGGTGGGAAAGAAGACTGAAGTTGAGATAAACTAAGCCACACAACTGAAATGTTGCAGAGCCAGGATTGGCATCCAGGTCCCTGATCATAAACAGACCTATTGCTGTCATGCTGCAGCTCTGGATAGAATAAAGAAAGGAGCCCCTCTAGTGTGAATCCTTTACTTTGATGATGAGGAAATGGAGGCCAGAGGGGTTAAGTGATTTGTCCAAATTAGCATCTTCATCTACCAGTGTGGGGATCTGGGTTGGGGAGGAGCTGGGCACTGCCCTCATGCCTGGGGTCCCTGCCTTATTTCCTCCCAGGTTATTGGAACACTTCCATGGGTGGTGAACTCAGCTAGTGTGGCAGCCCCAGCACCAGCCCAAAGCCTGCAAGTCCAGGCCGTGACCCCCCAACTGTTGTTGAATGCTCAGGGCCAGGTGATTGCGACCCTGGCCAGCAGCCCCCTGCCTCCGCCTGTGACTGTCCGGAAACCAAGCACGCCTGAGTCCCCTGCTAAGAGTGAGGTACTAGGGTTGTGGGTATGGGTGGGGTGACAGGCAATACTGTCTCCATGGGCTGCTTATCTCCAGGTTGTGACTACTGAAAAAGAGCACCCACCGAAAGTGAAGGGAGAGCCCTGAGTAGAAGGACTACATGAGTTCACCCCAACCCTACCCAGGACATAGCATCCTTTGGTCCCCTACCCAATCATACCAGAACATGTGTCTGTGCCCTCAGAAGTCAATATCATTCTAAGAAGGCAGGTGGAGGGTGGGTCTGAAATGTGTGGGGTGGTCAAACTGCTGGAAAAGATCCAGGAGGTTCGTTCTGTACCCCCTCCTCCTTCACCTCTCCACTCTGCTCCTTGATTTTGATTATTCATTTCATTGTTCATTTCAGAAGCATTTTTTGAGTGTCTAATATATCCTAAGTACTGAAGATACAAAGATGACTGAGATGCCCTTGCTGGCCTTAGGTAGCTCAGCATTAAAAATAACTACAAATCAATATCATAAACCCAGTACAGTGGCACACACCCATAATCCCATCAGTTCAGGAGGCTGAGGCAGGAGGATCTCAAGTTTGAGGCCAGTCTTTGTAACTTAGTGAGACCCTGTTTCAAAATATAAAGGGCTGGGGATGTAGCCCAGTATAGTTAGTGCCCAGTACCAAAAATGAAGAAAAAAACATTTTTTAAAGTCAGCATTATAGAACAATACATTAGATATATTATATCCTCAAACAAGGATATATCCAATGTAATGGGATTATGTGGATAATTTCGTATCTATACAGATTTATTAATTATTAGGTTGTTAAGTCATCATATATTACTTATTAATTTCTTCTTTTTGTTATTATTGTAGTAGATGGACACAATATTTTATTTTGTTTATTTTTATGTGGTGCTAAGGATCGAACCCAGTGCCTCACATGTGCTAGGCAAGCTCTCTACCCCTGCCTACACTCCCAGCCCCTAATTTATTCTTTTTTCAAATAAATTTTTTTCATTGTCAATGGACATTTATTTGTTTATTTTTAAGTGGTGCTGAGAATAGAACCCAGTGCCTCACACATACTAAGCAAGTGCTCTACAACTGAGCTACAACCCCAGTCCTTTAATTTATTCTTTTTCAAAAAACATTTTTAGTTTATTTTATCTATTTATTTATTGAACCCAGTGCCTCACATGTGCTCTACCACTGTGCCTCAGCTCCTGTGTCCTAATTTATTTTTAAAATATTTTTTTTCCATTCAAAATACTGTCACATTGGAAGAAAATGAAATGAAATGAAGGGAGGAAAAAGTCAACATGATAAAGACTATGACAGAGGCATGAATAAAGCCATTTGAGACACCAGAGAAGGGAGTTCTGACAGGAGAGGGAGTCAGGCAAGTTAACCTAGAGAAGGAGCTTTGAACTAATATGAAAGGATGAGTTGGCTGTGAGGGTGTTCTGTATCTGGGGAACTACAGGGAGTATCCTGTGCTAGAGCAGCAATTCTCAAACTCATGCATCAGAATTACCTGAAGGGCTTGTGGGAATGAAGAGTTTCTTTTTCAGTATGTCTAAAGTGGGGCCTAATAATATGTTTTCTAAATTCCTAGGTGACATTGAGGTCAGGGGTTCTCAAATGTGGTAGGCTGCTTCTAAACTTTGTAAATAACCGCTTAGCCTCATCTGTAAAATAAGGGTTGTAAGAGGACCTACCTCAGAGGGTTATGAATGTCATGCTGCAGCAACAAACACTGATGCATTTTAAAAATTTTTCTGTTATCCAGATAAATCTAAGAACTAGACTATTGTGAGACTTGAATCCTTGTCACCTGTTAGGAGGCAATTTAAGCAGTTCCAGCAAGAGACAAAGAGCTTTGAACAAAGGTAGAGATTTTAGCGATGAAGAAGAAATAGACTTGAGGGCTGGGGCTGTGGCTCAGCGGTAGAGTGCTTGCCTAGCATGTTCGAGGCCCTGGGTTCGATCCTTAGCACCACATAAAGATAAATAAATAAAGGCATTGTGTCTAACTACAACTAAAAAATAAATATTTTTTTAAAAAAGAAATATACTTGAAAGCTGCCAGGAGGTAGAACCCAGGGAACAGGACCATTCTGGAGAAACATGCATTTCCCAGAAAGCTTTATTAAAAAAAAAAAAAAAAAACACTAATTTCATATATTTATAGTTTCTTCTCATTACAAATATGACATGATTTTTATTGAAATTTCAGTATGTATCATGTAAAAAGTAAAAATCCCATGAGCTGGCAGGGTAGCTAAGTGGTAGAATATGTGCCTAGCACACCTGAAGCCTTGGGTTTCATCTCAGCACTGCACACACACACACAACACACACACACACACACACACACACCCACACACATACACCATAAAAATTCCTTCTAATTCTACCACCAGAAATTACTTCTGTTGTTAGCTTGCTTCATATGACTCAAGATTTTTTTCCTGGAAATTCATAGGTACATTTTAAAAAATTATTTTTTTTGGTTATAGATAGACAGTACATTTATTTATTTCTATGTGGTGCTGAGGATCAAACCCAGTGCCTCACACATGCCATTCAAGCACTCTACCACTGAGCCACAACCCCAGCCCCTCATAGGTATTTTTTTAAAGGTATTTCTCCATAAAACCTTTTTTTTTTTCTTTTTGCGGTATTGGGAATTAAACCCAGGGGTGTTCTATTGCTGAGCTACATTCCAGCCCTTTTTATTTTTTTTTTATTTTGAGACAGGGTCTTGCTAAATTGCAGAGGCTGGCTTTGAACTTGCAATCCTCCTGCTTCAGCCTCCTACATTGCTAAGATTATAATAAGTGTGAGCCACTGCACCCAGCTAAAAACTATATTTCACCTTAGGTTTTTTCATTTAGCCTCTATGACTCAGTGCAGTTAAGAGATGTACTTTATTATTTTAATATATGCATAATCTCTCATTGTTGTGAGATCAAGGAGTTATCTATCTGTTCCCTACTCATGGATATTTGAGGCCTGGGCAACTCTAGAATGAGAAGAACTTACTCCTGATTAGAATCTAGCATAAGCTTTTCCCTTGAGGGCAGAGATGTGAGATCAGTTATCCCAAAGGTAGAAACTTGTTGGGGCTTTCACCAAGAGTACTGAGACATTCTGAGCCTCTCATCTGCATAGGTGGCTTCAACTTCACTGGGCATGTTGCTCTACTTATTTCAGAGGTCACTATTGTGGAATGGGTATCAGTAATCAGCAGCTTTAATCTTGTTTTGTGAGAGGATACAGGTGGGAGGATACTGGTAAGTGAGAATTTCATACTCTCCTGCACTGGTCCATCCAGGGATTCTGACCCCCTGAGTTATGCAAGGAAAAACAGGGGCTTATCTCTCTTCCAGGTGCAGCCCATCCAGCCCACACCAGCTGTGCCCCAGCCTGCTGTGGTCATTGCCAGCCCAGCCCCAGCAGTCAAGCCATCTGCCTCTGCTCCCATCCCAATCACCTGCTCAGAGACCCCCACGGTCAGCCAGTTGGTATCCAGTAAGTGGCTCCTGGAAGAGAGAAGGTGGGGGGCATTTATTTGGGCATTTTAACTTGCTCACATACTGCTTTTATTATATATTTCCTGGAGACATATGCTATGGCATGGTCCTGGAGTCCCAGCTCCTCAGGAAATTGAGGCAGGCAGATCGCTTAAGTGTGGGCAATCAAAGCCAGCCTGGGCAGTCCCATCTGAAATCAATCAAATTCCTGGATTCCAAAAGTCACAAAGGGCAGAAGCCCAATTTGAGGAGCTAGCTTTCTTATTCTTGTTGCTGTTGAGCTAGATAGATTCTGGACAGGATGGTAGAGACTGCCCAGTTGGTTGGCTGACTGCTTCTCTGAGAGGCCAAGCCATTGGCTGTCTGCTGTGGGCTCTCATCCAGCACTGAGGAACGTGGACAGCCAACAAGTGTGCTTGGGGCAGGACGAGGGACTGTGGGGTGGGGGAAAGGTCAGTAGTTAGAGCGATAAGAACTTGAAAATAAGCCTTATCCCTGAGAGGGTGGTCCAGCCCCTTTCCCACAAGTCTGCTTGCCTTGGGAAGGGGTATTGAAGGTAGGTGCACAAGCCTAGTGTCCCCATTCCTCACCATGCACTCGTCCAGACCAATGGACCAGTTAATCAGTGATGATTCCCATCTTACACACTCATCTCTGATCTTTCCTTTGGCCTAGAGCCACATACTCCAAATCTGGATGAGGATGGGATCAACTTAGAAGAGATCCGGGAGTTTGCCAAGAACTTTAAGATCCGTCGGCTCTCCCTGGGCCTTACACAGACCCAGGTGGGCCAGGCTCTGACTGCAACAGAAGGTCCAGCCTATAGCCAGTCAGCCATCTGCCGGTAAGTAAGGCTGCCCTGGACAAGGTCAGGGTCTGCTCAGTGCCTACCAGGCATCTAGCCCCTTACCATATCCCCCTTGCTCCTGACTTCTACCAGATAAGATGTATTTATCTGGATATGAATACCTGGAGTAGCCAAAGACTGACTAAACTCTCTGAAATTTATTCTCTGATCCTGAGCATTTATGTGGTCTTTTGGGGGCAATCTAAGACCCAAATCCATTCAGGAATCCTAGCAGAAAAGGAGTTATAAACTTAGTCACACAAGTAGGAACTTCAGTTCCCTTGTGGCCCTCAACCAGGCCACACCCTGTCATGCTGTCATCTCCCCCTCCTATAAGGCCTGACTATAAAGTACGAGAGCTGATTTTTCTGTGAGTACCTTATAAACTGGTTTTGATGTTAATATCAGAGGAAGGGTAGCAGAGAGTTTCAAAGAAGAAACTCATTGGGCTCAGTGGATAACCCAATGATTTCATCTGCCTGCCAACTCTGTAGCTAAGACTAGAATGACTATTAGAGTGACAACCGTGCCGTGTTGGCTCAGCCAGAAAAGTAGCCTGTCATGTTAGCCATGTTCCTATGAGAGTGCAGGTGGAGGAGGACAGCACTCATGTCCTCTGGAGGCTGCTCAAGATGACTTCTCAAAGGACTTCACTCATTTGGGTGTGAAAGTTTTGGAATGGTTGTTTAGGGCAGTATTGTCATCATCCTATTGACCTGAGGCTGTAGAAATAATCTCACTGTTAAGACCTGGGATTCTGGAGAGTCTGAGGAGTCTGGTCTTGGACAAGCCAAAGGGGTCATGGTGGAGGCAGTGAGAGGACACTGGGAAGGGCCTTACCAGCTCCACGAGGAGCAGCCCCTTGAAGGTAGTGCATGGAGACCAACACACTCTGTTTCTTCCTGGGCATGTGTTGTCTGCAGGTTTGAGAAGCTGGACATCACGCCCAAGAGTGCCCAGAAGCTGAAACCAGTGCTGGAGAAGTGGCTAAATGAGGCTGAACTCCGGAACCAGGAAGGCCAGCAGAACCTGATGGAGTTTGTGGGAGGTGAGCCCTCCAAGAAACGCAAACGCCGCACCTCCTTCACCCCCCAGGCCATAGAGGCCCTCAACGCCTACTTTGAGAAGAACCCGTTACCGACAGGTCAGGAGATCACCGAGATTGCTAAAGAGCTCAACTATGACCGGGAGGTAGTGCGAGTCTGGTTTTGCAATCGGCGCCAGACACTCAAGAACACCAGCAAGCTGAATGTCTTTCAGATCCCCTAGGGCTTGGCCCCCAGCCCTGTGTTCTAGCACTTTGTACTCTTCCCTTGACACCTGACTGTCTCCACTGCCATGACAGAACCTGTCATTTTGCCACATCATGAGACTCCACTGTGTGCATGTGTCGATGCCTCCCTCCTCTTTCCCACATATCTCATATCCTAGGGAGGCCAGAGGGGACCCATGAGAGAGCCCCAGGTTCTGGGCTGAGCATGACAAAGGAAAAGATTTGTGGTGGTGCTTAGGGAAGCACTTTGCTAACATGGTTTCTGAAGGGCAAATTCTGGCTGGGAACCAGAAACTCCTGAGGATCATTAGCTCTTGCTTTTGATAACATTCTCTCTCCACTTTCCTTTCTCCTTTACATCTCCTTTATTGTGGAACCACAGCCTGACATTACCTTCCCTCACTTCACCTACAGACAAACTAAACCCCTGAAAGGACTTAAGATATAAAATTCAGAAAAGTTGCCAGGTGCAGTGGTGCACCTGTAATCCCAGCAGTTTTAGGAGGATCGAGAGTTCAAGGCCAGTCTCAGCAATAGCAAGGCGCTAAACAATTCAGTGAGACCCTGTGTCTAATTAAAACACAAAATCGGGCTGAGGATGTGGTTCAGGGGTTGAGTGCCCCTGAGTTCAACCCCAGTACCCCACCCCACCCCCCAAAAATCCAGAAGTTTCTGTGCTGCTCCAAAGGTCAGACCCAATGTCTGCCTTGACCTCAAGGTCAGAAGGTTCCTGAAGTCCTGTGCCAGAACATATGAACTCCTCTCCCTGGTTCTTTCGGGTTTGGGAGAAGGGTTTGCATTAAATCAGAAACTTTTCTGTTACAATCTGTGTTGAAAGAGCAACAGTAAACTTTACCTGTCCTGGAGTTGCCCTGGGCCAGCTGTGGGTCTGGAATTTAGTAAATAAGTCCATTCTTCTGGGTTTTAATCTAATTTCTGTCCTCAGCCATCCCCTCCCCCCAAAAAAATGTGGGTTAAGAGAATTTGCAGCTGGGCCTGCAGCGCACGCCTGTAATCCCAGCTACTCAGGAGGTTGAGGCAGGAGGATAATGAGTTTGAGACTAGCCTAGGCAGCATAATGAGATCCTGTCTCGAAGGAAAAAAGAGAGAGCAAGGACTTGCACCCTGGTAAATCCCACTGCCCTGCAAGCAGGCAGCTCTGGAAAAAAATGAGGAAAGGAATGCTGATTTTTCTCTCTCCCTCTTTTGCCCCCATAGCCCCCCACCCAATCCAGTATTGGAACCTTCTCAAAGGAGCAAATTAAACAATAAACCAGACAGGAAGGCCCTGAGGGAAAGGACAATATCCAGAAAGAGCTGATGGCAGCCCAGAAAGATCTTTTGGGGAAGTTAAAGACTTAATTCTAATTTTCTTTATAACTGTAAACCTTGGATATTGGAGAAATCTCACTTTGTCCAGAGTTGTAGACCATATCTGTTGCAGGCAATTCTCCCAGTGCTGCTCTGAGTCAGGACTACCCAGTTCAGGATGAATTTTGCCTGTAGAGGGAGTAGCTATGGTACCTTGGGGGTTAGCATCTTATCCAAGCTGTGAAGTGAGTTTCCAGCCTCACTGTGACTGGACACCCCTTAAAATGCAATATGTGACTTTAGGTCAGGAGGGACTAAGAGGTTGACTTGGATGATCCCAGACTTGCTATATACACTGTCCCTAAAGATCCACAAGTCCCTGGAGTCAAATATCTTCTCCTTTCATTATTGTTATCTTTATAATGCCTGGTCTCTAGCAGCTGTCCTTCACTGTACCTCACACGATCTACCCTAAGTGGGTGACCGTCAAGTAAGGGCACTACTTCTGTTGGTCACTGGTGTAGAGCTACTGTACCTAGCTTCCTTTCCTGCCCACTACTGGCCCCTCCTAGGTTCTGCAATGCCATTGTGGCCATCCTCTTGGTAACCCTGCCAGTGAGAGGAAGACAGTGTGAGTGTGCTACAACCAACCTGCCAGAGTGTGGTGGGAGTGAGGAGCGGGTGGGCAGCTTACTTGAGCCAGCCCCCCAGGAGAGAGTACGTCTTCAAAGGAGAAGCTCCACACTTCAGGCCATGGTTATAAACCTGCCTCTTTGAGATGACAAACTCACTTGGGAGGGGTATTGTGAACAAGTTTTCAGTAGGAATCATTTTCCATATGGAAATCTTTCAAGGATTCAGTGACTCAGACTACAATGAGTTAGAAAGATGTAGGTTTTCTTGCTCAAACACTTGCATTCAGAGATGCTTTCTTTTTTTGGGAAAAAAAAGTGGGTCACAGCTGGTGCCCTGGAAGTAGCATATAATATAGGGTGTGTCCATGCTGTGAATGTGCAGGAGGACACCATCTGTCCTGTGGCTTGACAGGAAAAAAAATCGTGAACCACTGGTCTAAATTAGGCCTGGTCATGATTTCTTAGCCCCTCCCTTATCTAAATCTGTCCTCCCAAGGCTGGGCGAGAACTAAATCATTTTCTCCTCTACTGGAAAGATGGGTCAGTCTTTCAGAAGAATACCGGGACCTGAATGTTTGCAGCTGAATTCTCCAGACCGGGGGTGCAGGATGTGCCTGAAATATATTCCAAGCAGAGCTCATTGGCCTATGACCTCTGTCCGTGCTCCTCCATCAGAGGATCCCCCAGGAAGCAGATGGTGCCTGGGCCATTCACCTATGAGGCAGTTTTTGTTTTTTGTTTGTTTGGGTTTTGTTTTCTTTGGTTTTGGTAGCATCATGCTCTGAGGGGTGTTAAAAATTAAGTCAGAGCTCAGTGGCTCCTTTGCTATGGAACGGCAGAAATGATTTAACTAACTGTATAGTTTTGTTTTAAATGAAAGAAAGACCAAAAACTTTCTGTGGGCTGAATCAGCTGGGGCCTTTGACCCTGCACTAACCGTGGCATTTTATCCAGGCGAAGTCCAGGGAAAGCATTCAGTCAAATGAACTGAGGAACACACTTGAGTTTAGACTGAGCAACCGTGATGTTTTTGTCTTCTCAGAAATCTAGTCATCTTCCTGTGTCCAGATTTTCTTTCCTGCCTCTTAGGCCAGATTCTGACATTGAGGTTCTGACTGTGACCCAGCACAGGGCAATGCCTACTGAGGGCTGGAGGGAGGGTGGGGAGGGGAGAATTGGAGAGAAACACTTGGTGTAGTTGTGTGGAATAAACAGTATTTTTTCTTTTGTACTGGTCTGCCTGTTTCTTGGTGACCTCCTAAAGTGGAAATATAAAGGAAGCAATGTCAGAGGCCAGGCAAGTAGCAGGGAACTAGCTGTCAGCTTGCACCATTGAAAATCCCATTGTAAGAAGGTCAGAGTCAGTCCCCTCAATTCCCCCCTTACTATTATTTAAAAAATATTTGTATTACTTATTGATGGACCTTTGTTTATTTGTTTGTTTATATGTGGTACTGAGAATTGAATCCAGTGCCTCACACATGCTAGGCAAGCACTCTACATCTGAGCCACAACCCCAGCCCATCGATTTCCACTTTATTATTATTTTTTATTAGATAATCTATGATTTGTTTTGAAAATTACATTATGATGAGGAACATGTGGTAGAGCAGAGCTGCTCACATGGTGGAAAGAGAGAGAGAACACACTAGATTCCCAATTTAGACCCTCCTTATTGGGCTGAGGGTCTGCAGGGCCCTTTCTCCTTCTAGACTATCCTCTTGGTACCTAGAACCCAGAATTCTCTGCCAAGCCTATTTCCTGGATCTCTCTTCTTGGAGTCCCAAGAACAGCCTATAATGTTGGTATATATACTTGTGTGTCCAAGAGGCAGCTGTCTTAGTCCATTGGGGCCACTATAATGAAACACCTTAGACTGGTAGTTTATAACAACATAAATTTACTGCTTATGGTTATGGAGACTGGGAAGTCAAAGATCAAGGAACTGACAGATCTGGTTTTTGATGAGCGTCCTCTTCCCCATAGATGGAAGTCTTTTCACTGTAACCTCACATGGTACAAAGGCAAACATGCTCCCTAAGGCCTCTTTTAAGGGCCTTGTTCTGGTCAACCCTCATGACCTAATCAATCTTCCTAAAGGTCTCACTTCTTAATACTATCTTATTGGGAATTATGTTTCAATTTTGGAGGGACACAGATATTCAGGCCAGCAGTGACCAAGGGATAGCTGTTTGTCAGAGACTTGCACGACAGAGCTTGTATATACAGGCTGAGGTCTATATGTGTACACAAAGCCCTTTGCCTCTCCAGTTAGAGAGAGGGGAGATAAAGCAGTCTCTAGACTGGGAGCCTGGACTGGGGAACATCCTACCATGGAACTTCAAGGAGTCCTGGGCATCTAAATTCAAACAGGGCTTGAATTATGAAGGTATATTTAGAAGATATTTAGAAGGCTAGAACATTACTAGTTAGCGATTTATACAGTTCTTTATAAAAATGGGATGTATGATTAAGTGGGGCTTCATTTTTCACTCTTCCCAGGCCTGCCACCTGAGCATACAGCTGAGAGAGCCCAGCTGTCATGAATGTCTCTTTCTTGGCTTGTCTAACTCTGAGGACTAGGATTTAGGCCATCTACTTCACAGTCTTCTCTTCCCCCACCTGGTATTGATGATGTCTGAGCTGCATAATCTAAGCTGGCAAGGGCAAGGCCATGACTCTGCCCAACCACCATTACTACACCTCAGATGAGGTGAAGAGGGATTGGTTCTAGACGACCACCACCTGGCCCCCACTCACAGTGGTAATAGATGTCTAAGACTCTGACACAAGGCTTACAAATCAGAGGCACTTTACAGAACTCTGAAATACTGGGGAAATATAACAAAAAGAAGCCAACACTTACCCCAGCATAGACCTCACACACTGGGCTGTGACTCCTCAATACATAGGCCAGAGCACATTGTAAATGCTCAATAATTGTCAAATAGATAACTGAATGCATTTTCTACTGTTCCTTTCAAGAAAATAATGAGAGCTGAGACTTCAGGCAACAGGGACAGAGCAGGGACAGGAGGGAATTCTGCTTACCATGCAGGGTTTGGACTGTGAACCGTGGGAGTGAATGGAATCTCACCAGATAGAGACAGTGCCAGCAGCTCCCACCAGGAGAGTCCTGAGAACTGATCTCTCTGGCTCAGACCAGTTGAGAATGGTTGCTGGCAGTTGGCCCAGGAAGGCTGTCCTAGAAGCAGGTGGGTTTGTGGAAGAACTGCAGTTCTTTTCCTCCCAGGCCTGGGAATTTCATTGTACTCTGGATGGTTATAAAAGGGGAACTGACCTTTTATAGTCTGGAGAAGATGTGGGCTGGTTTCTGAACTACAGACAGGAGAGGAGAAGAACCTGAGATTGCTTTGAACTGTGTAACTGTGAAAACTGATGATTTCATTTCCTTTCAACTAAAGGGTCTTTCAGAGAAGACAGACTCGACTTCACAGGCTCCTTGGGTGGGGTGCAGAAATACAGGAAAAGTTAAGGCTAGGTGGTCAGTCCTCAAAAAAGCTTCCTTGGTTTTAGTTTCTTCCTTTACCTGAAGGAAAATGCTCAGGGATTGACTTAGGAATTCAGCAATACTGATTGACCTGCAGGACCTGAGTAACTGAGTGTGAAGGGAAGGGGGGGGGATGGGGAGGGAATGGAATCACATTAGGGAAGGGAGCCTGAGTCCTCCAGCCTGATTTTTCTCAAGAGGTAGATAAGTGCTGGAGTATTCTCTTTTTGTCAACCATAATAATGGCTAAATTTTACCCATTACTACATGCTAGGCACTGTTCTAAGCACTTAACATTCATTATCTCAGTCAGTTCTTACAATAATTCTACAAAGTAAGACTCTCATATTGATTTTACAGATAGGGTTTTAGATTCAGGGAAAAAGGAATGTGCTCAAGGTTGCATTATGAGCAGCAGAGACAGGATTTGAACCCAGGTGGGCTGTCTTTAAAGTTTTGTGTTTAACTTTGTCCTATATAGACTCTGAGAGGTAGGTGGGACCTGGGGGTTGCTATCTTTCTGATCTTTGCAGTAGAGTTTCCACTCACCAGGGTAGACCCTGCTGTGTCTCATCTAAATAATGTTAAGTTCCAGGACTTAATCTAGGTAAATGAACCCTTCACAATAAGACTAACTTCATCTGATGACCAAAATACTGAATTCCGAGCTCTGTACCACAGGTGCTCTGGTTAATTAGTTTCATTTATTATGTTTAATTGGAGCTATGATTTTTCATTGTAGGATGAATTTATGGGTACAAAATCTGATCTATTGATAGATGTTGCTGAATTTTTAGGGGTTGCTGCCTATTTCCAATCCTAGAATTCTGATTCCACTCTTAATTTAGTGAGGAAGGGAAAGGAAAGGAAAAGTTATTTCTCCAGTTATAATTCCAAGGGTAAATAGTCTGTAAGGTCTTTCCTGAGGGGGAACTGGTCTCAAGGGTGTGTGTCTCAGGCTGATCCACATTCCATCTGGGATGGGCCAGGGCTAAGGAATTGCCTCTTGTTTCAACTCAGTTTATTTTGGAATTAATAAATGGAAAGGTGGGCCTTTGTAAAAATCTTTATGTTGGTTCAGAATTTAGTCTCGGGGGAGTTGGGGTTGTGGGCTCAGCAGTAGAGTGCTTACCTAACACATGCGAGGCCCTGGGTTTGATCCTCAGCACCACATAAAAATAAATAAAATAAAGGTATGGTGTCCAACTACAAGTAAAAAGTAAATATTTAAAAGAGATTGAGATAATGTATATGAAAATGCTACTAAAACCTTAACATATCATGCAATGTAAATTAATGTAATTCAAATAGGATAATATTAACCCAATCTTAACAGAAAAGCAGAAATGGTCTGGTGAAAGACAGGAGCTAATATTAATTGAATCATTACTTTTTGCGGGCTACTTTGGTACCTCATTTAATCCTTACAACAATTTTAGGAAGAGGTATAATTATTACTAATTTTTAGATTAAATACCAAGGCTCAGAGATATAAAGTTATTTGCCCAAGTTTATGCAGCTAGTAGTAGAGCTCTTGTTCAAACAAAGGATGATTCTATCTAATAAGTATTTTAATAGTAAATCCAGAGTATAGCTCTGGATTACAATTCTGGATTCAAGGAATTTTGAATCTTCAGGTCTCCATGTGATCTCCTTCTTCTGGTCTCTGAGATGAGGACCCATTCATTCCTTTACCCACAGATACACATTTTGGGATTAAATTGGCTCAGAAAGGAAAGTGAATTAAAGAGATATTGGATGGTTCATGAATGAAATAAGACTTGGATCTTTGGGCTTATCAAGGTAAGAAGGTGTGTTTAAGCCTAGAGCTCCTAGAGAGAAACCTATGGCTGAAACCAGGGGCATATCATCATCTTCATGTCAACCTCTTTCCCTTCTCTTAAGTCTCAATTCCTTTTTTAAGTCAATAAGTATTTTTAAAAAGTCCTTCGGAGGGGATGGGGGTGTAGCTCAGTGTTTAGAGCATGTGATAAGCATGCATGAGGCCAGGGTTTGATCCATAGCAAACCCCCCTCCCCCGCCATAAAAAAGTCCTATTCGATGCAGGAACTATAGTAGGAGATATTTAGAGTACAAGTCTGAAAAAAACCTATTCTCTATTCTTAAGATCACTTCTAGTGAGAGAGGTGGATATATAAAAATATTATAATTAAAATGATTGTTTAAAAAAGTCAGTAACAGAATACAACAATGAACTAATACCTTTACATATGGGGGGGGGAAATGCCAGTCTTTAGAGTAGGCTCTCAAATTAGGATGCTAATTTAGATGTGGCCAATTTAAACCCTTTAACTATTCTCATTATTGGTGAATAATGGAGCTATGGCACACACCTGTAATCGCAGTGATCTGGGAGGCTGAGGCAGGAGGATCTCAAGTTCAAAGCCAGCCTCAGCAATTTAGTGAGGCCCTAAGCAACTTAACCAGATCACGTCTCAAAATAAGAAGAGCTGGTGATATGCCTCAGTGGTCAAGTGCCCCTGGGTTCAATCCCCAGTACCAAAAAAATTATACATAGATATTATATATTCATAAATATAATTATATATAATTAGAAACATAAATACATACATATAATTCTAATTACAAGATTTGTCTTGAGGACTACCAATAATGTAATAATGTTCCTAGCATATAGATGATGCTTAATAAAAAGTGACCATTGTTGTTCCTTAATCCTCAAAAGAGAAAGAGGGAGA